ACTATGCATACTGATGAGACAATAGCCTCGGGCTTTTGAGATCTTGATAACCAGGAAATTAATTATAAATTCGTAACTCCTGCTGTGATTGACTGAAGTGATACACAAAAAGTGCCCAGTGAAACAATCCCAATCAAGTCAGCTTAGCATTTAGCAGGACAGCAAATCTCCATTCACTTTCAAAAGTAAGAGGAGCCTATTATAGTGAATGAGCCAGTGGAATGCAAAATATTCAAATGTTCAGATATTCTAGGACTTAGATCCTTCAGAAAAATCAGACTATATAACACAAACACAAGAAAAAAAGACAACTACAACCAAGGCACTTCTCTTCTCAGCCCCACTTTCTCCTACTTCCAATCAGGGTCCTAATCAGATGGACCAGAAATTTCCCAAGCCACTTCTCCAAGACAAAAAAAGAATTGATAGTGCACACCTATAATCCCAGAAGCTGGGGAGGTTGAGGCAGGAGGATTGCAAGTTCAAAACCAGCCTCAGAATCTCATTGAGGCCCTCAGCAACTTAGCAAGAACCTGTCTCAAAGTGGGGAAAAAAGGGCTGGGGATGTGACTCAGTGGCTAAGCACCTCTGGGTTCAATTCCTGGTTTAAAAAAAAAAGAAAAGCTTTTATATTAGCAAGTATGATTTTATTTCTCAAATCATTTCTTTTCTTGGGGATATAGCTCAGTTGGTAGAGTGCTTGCCTCACATGCACAAGTCCCTGGGTTTTAATCCCAGCAACACACACATAGAGAAAAAAAAAATTATTTATTCTCTCTTTTTTTTTTTTGTAATTCTGAGGATCAAACCCAGGGTCTTCTGTATGCTTAGCAAGCACTCTATTGCTGAGCTACATCCCCAGTCCATCTTTTACATCTTTGAATATAGATTCAAAGTTTTGGTAAAAATGAACCAAGAAATGCACCTATTCTTTTTTTATTTTTTAGTTGTTGATAGACCTTTATTTTATTTATGTATTTATATGTGGTGCTGAGAATCGAACCCAGTTCGTCACACTACATGCCAGGCAAGTACACCACTGCTCAGCCCCAGCCCCAGCCCCAAGAAATGCATCTATTCTTTTATTATTATTATTATTTTAAGGTGGACACAATATCTTTATTTTATTTTTATGTGGTGCTGAGGATTGAACCCAGTGCCTCACGCATGCCAGGCGAGGACGCTACCACTCGAGCCACATTCCCAGCCTCTGCATCTATTCTTTAATAGGCACTTTTGATTAAGTTTTGGGGCATCCATACATGGAATACCACCTGGTTATTAAAATTAATGAGGTATAGTGAATGAATGTGTTTAAATAAGAATAAGTCTGTATTAGCTGATTTTTAAGTTAATTATATGTGCATATATATGTATACATATACATTCTTTTTCTTTTAAAATTTTTTTTGGTGCTAGAGACTAAACACAGGGACACTTACCACTGAGCCACACCACAGCCCTCTTATTTTTTTAAGAGACAGGGTATCACTGAGTTGCTTAGTGCCTCACTTTTGCTGAGGCTGGTTTTAAACTGGCGATCCCCCCTGCCTCAGCCTTCTGAGCCACCAGGCTTGGCTTACATATTTATTCTTTGTGTGTGTGTGTAGTGCTGGGGATTGAACCCAGGGCTTTGTGCATGAGAGGTAAGCACTTTACCAACTGAGCTAGTTTAAGAGAGAGTGAGAGAGGAGAGAGAGAGAGAGAGAGAGAGAGAGAGAGAGAGAGAGAGAGAGAAAGAGAGAGAGAATTTTTAATAATTATTTTTCAGTTCTCGGCGGACACAACATCTTTGTTGGTATGTGGTGCTGAAGATCGAACCCGGGTCGCACACATACCAGGCGAGCGCCACATCCCCAGCCCCACATATACATTCTTAATAGTATAATATACCTATATTTTCCATTAAAAATTATTATAGAATTCAGTTCTATCAGGGAAATAAGAATGGTTATGAGCAGTAAATTAGAAATTTTTTTATTTTGTTCTGTTGGATTTTTTTTAAATCATCAGTATATATTATAAAAATGACTAATAAAGAAATCCAAATACCAAAATAGTTTCATCCACTGGACTGGCCTATAGAAAGTCTGTGGGGCTTCTGTGAAGCCTTTTATCCTGTGTTCACCTTTCCATTTCTCACCTGTGGAGAATAGGAGGACAACCTCAAAGGCCTGCAATGAGATTCAATGCAGAGCACAGGCAAAGAAAACTAAGGTTAAATGGTACTGAAAGGGAAAAAAAAAGGCAGAGCAGAAAAGAGGTGTCAATAATCACAGAAAAGAGTGTTCCCTGCCTCACCCTTAAGGGAGTATGTTCCAAGACCCCCAGTGGATGCCTAAACCCCATATAAAGTAGTTTGTTCCTAAGCACATATAACTGTGATAAAGTTTAATTTATAAATTAGGGTACAGCAACTAAAAATAGAACAATTATAACAATATACTTTAATAAAAAAGTTATATGGTGGTGGTCTCTTCTCTCTCCTCCCTCAAAATATCTTTACATATTTTCACTTAAAAGAAACATTCATGGGCTGGGGTTGTAGCTCAGTGGTAGAATGCTTGCCTAGCATATGTGGGTTCAATCCTAAGCACCACATCAAAATGAATAAATAAAATAAAGGCATTGTGTCCATCTATACGTAAAAAAAATATACATTTTTTTTAAAAAAAGCATTCACGAGCGCTGGGAATGTGGCTCAAGCGGTAGCGTGCTTGCCTGGCATGCGTGCTGCCTGGGTTCGATCCTCAGCACCACATACAAAGATGTTGTGTCCGCCGAAAACTGGAAAATAAATATTAAAAAGTTCTCTCTCTCTATATATATATATATAAAAAAAGCATTCACTTTGTGGCTCTTATTAAGGAAGGATTACTTGAACACAAGCAGGAGATCCTGCAACTGATAGCCCACATGAATCTGATCGATGAAACACAACTGGGTAGTGCATACTGCTTGGATTCCCTGGACAAAGAGATGATTCATGACAGCACAAGATTTTATCACGCTACTCAGAATAGTGTGCAGTTTAAAAAATTATGTATTGCTTATTCCAGAATTTTACATTTAATATTTTCAGACTATAGTTTGATCATGGATAAGTATGGAAAGTGAAAATCCGGATAAGGGAGAACAGGAATGCTGGAATGGTGAAAATACAACATAATATTTGTGAGTATTTATGAGTGCATAAATGTGCCCAATATTTTATCCTCATGATTTTATGGGGAAGAAATATTATTCTTTGTAAAACTGGAATAACCTTCTCTAAAGTAACAAAAACCTCCATAGGACCTGCACTCAGCCACTAGGCTGTGCTGCTTCTTCAATAAAAATTAAACAATGGGATTTTTTTCCCCCAATCAGATCAGCAAAATTTCAAAAGATTGATGGCATCAAATGTAGATAAGCATTTCAGGAAACAAGTACAAGTTTAGTATTTTGATAGTAAGAAGAATCCTGACTCAGCACAGTGGTGCACGCCTGTAATCCTAGATTGCAAGTTCAAGGACAGCCTCAGTAACTTAGCCAGACCCTGTCTCAAAAAAAAGGAGGGCTGGGGATGGGGATGTGGTTCAGTGGTAAGTGCCCCTGAGTTCAATCCCCAGACTAAAAAAAGAATACTAAAAGCAATTCAGCAAAATAGCACTCAGCACAAAACATCCTCCACCCATGCTGGGGATGGAATTGAGGGTCTTGGGCATGCTAATGCAAGTGCTCTACCACTAAGCTATACCCAGACCCCAAAAATAGATATCTGACTTTGGACTTGGTTTTTGTACTTCCAGAAACTTATCCTACAAACTAATTTCAAAGATGTCTATACACCAATGTACAATGCAGTACTGTTTTAATGTCCCCCCCTCAAAAAAAGGAGTCTGTATCCTTTAAAAATGGAAGTCAATCTCTAGAACCAGGTGTGGAAAGAATTCTAAAACATACTAAGTGAAAAACAACTGCCACAAAGGAATATGTACAATATTCTTTCTGAAAAAATATGGTATAAACATGCAAAGGTTTGCTCTCTAGCATAGCTCCCCCGCCAAAAAAAGCCATATTATTTCTTCTTGGAAGAGTAAGGCTGTTGCTTCTTTCTCCTCCTCCCTCCTTCAAACAAAGAAAGCAAAATCATAACTCAGAAAGAAGTTGTAGAAAAAGGATCATGTGTTATTTATCAACCAAAACAATCATAAAACAATTTTTAAAGTCACAAATACAACAGGTATATAAAGTCAATCTGGAGTCAGGTACTTCTTTTATTTATTTATTTATTTAGTAGGTGTAGTTGGACACAATGCCTTTATTTTATTTACTTATTTTTATGTGGTGCTGAGGCTCAAACCCAGGGCCTCACATGCACTAGGCAAGTGCTCTATTGCTGAGCTACAACCCCAGCCCCAATGGTCTTCTTAAATATGCTGCAAATTCTTGTACATCCCTGCTACTTTCCAAACAGATGGGTTCAAACCCTATGGAGACTCTGCAATTTCATAGCTCATAAGAGGTGAACAAAATTCACAATAAATATACCAACAATTTTTTAAAATACTAAGTGGTAAATGCTATTTTTAGTTATAAAATACTCTTACTCAGACTGAAGTTAGTAAAAAGTTGTACAAAATTTGTATTTACATGTTGAAGATCCTCATCGTATTTTTCTTGAATAGTAATACACACAAGAACTCAAAGGATTAATAAAGAAATAACTGAAAATCCCAATAAGTCAACCAGGGAATTTCATTATAAGCTAAACACAAAAAGGCACCAAACTTTTTTTTTTATATACCAGGGATTGAACCCAGGGGTGCTTAACCACTGAGCCACATCCCCAACCTTTTTAAAATTTTGAAACAGATCTCGCTAAGTTGCTTGGAGCCTCACTAAGTTGCTGAGGCTAGCTTTGAACTTGGAATCCTCTTACTTCAGCTTCCCAAACTGCTGGGATTACAGGTGTGAGCCATAGCACCCAGCACAAAACATTCTTACAGACTTTTCTGTTTTAGAAACTATTTTGGCACCTTGTCAAGTGGTAGCAAAGCTCAGTTCAGTAATTGTCACATTCAAGTGCAAAAATGTTACAATGTTTATAAAATGTCCCTATTCCCTGTTTCCTGAGCTCTTGTCATGAAAACTGAGGAACTTATACTTTTAATAAGATCCCCAGTGATTTTAATGAAGTGCACAAGAATGCTGCTCCCTGAACATTTGAATTCTATCGCCCAACCCAAGCTCACTGCTCACTATTGGTTGGAAATCAGACTCCAACCAGCTCGTTTACCTTGTTAAGTTTGCAAAGTCAATCAGACTGATGCTCTCTGAAGGCCCTCAAGCCCTAACAAGGCTAAGATGGACCCCAAATGCAGAAGAAATAGTTTCAGTTTGTAGAAGAAATAGTTTCAGATAGAAACCTAGCCTTCACACCAGGTGCAGTTTTTGCAGGTAACTGGGTTCCTGTCTTTCCACTATCTTCTGCATCTTGCTCTGTTAGTTCAGTTTTTAGGATATTTGAGTAGGAGAATTCTGCCACACATTTATGTTAATGTGGGAGGCTTTTCTCATGCAAACAAGGAAGCTTCAAGCAATCCTGGGAGAAGCTACACAGACAATGGCCTGTGCTAAGCCCTGCTTGTTTAAGAAATAACAGCCACCTCCCCACATCAGTAAGCAGGCTCCTCAGCTCCTGTAAAACTCCATCTGTAGAGCTGGCAAACTCAATAGGAAGTTTTAACACTTGTTGAACTTGAAGAATAAGAGCTGGATTTCCTGGAGAATTTCTTGGAGGTGAGGGATACTTGCATTCGCTTCACAGTGCGGACACTGCGACAAAGGAGAGCATTCTTCACATGATCCCTGAAATCTTGTGAAACAAAGTAATAGACAAAAGGGTCAATGCAGCTGTTGAGGGTGGACAGACAGAGGGCTACAATGTACAGCGCATAGACATGGCTCTGGCCTTGGCTTTTAATCAGGAAATAATGCACCACGAGCAGAAGGTTACTGGGAGTGAAGCAGATCAAGTACATGGCCAGGACAGTGACAATGAGTTTGATGGCCCTCTTCCTTTTCTTTTCCGAGTGTTCATCCATGGCAGAAGATTGGAGCGTTCTGATCATGAGCACATAGGCAGAGGCTGTGAGGAAGGCTGGGAACATAAAGACTCCAATGGCTAGAGAGAGGAAGTAATTGAACATGTCCCCCACCAACACCTGCTCAGGCAAAACGTCATGACAGGTCGTGATGTTAAGGGCTGGGATGTAGATGGTCTGCTTCATGACATACAAGGGGATAGTGACCAGCAATATCAGCAGCCATATTCCCAGGGAGACACCAATAGCAATGTTTGCACTCTTCTTGGTGTGTACCATGGGGTTCACGATGACCCAATACCTTTGCACACTGAGGCAGGTCATGAAGAGAATGGAACAGTACATATTGCCATAGAAAAAGCCAATGAGCACCTTGCAAAGAGATTCCCCATAGATCCAGTTGTTGCCATGTATGTGGTAGGCAATCTTCAGGGGAAACCAAATAACAGAGAGGAGGTCTGCCACGGCCAGATTGGCCATGTAAATCACAGCAGGGTGCTTCTTCTTTGTTCGGAAGAGAAAGACCCATAGGGCTATGCCATTACTTGGTAAACCAACCACAAATACAATTGTGAAGACAATTGGAAGAAAGACAGTAGTGAGCTTTCCAGTGAGGAGGGATGTGGAAAACTCATCCACAGAGAAGTCTGGTACCACGGTAACTCCTTTTCCAGTGACTGAAGGGGGCTTATTAGGCTTCCCAATAAGACTTCTTCCTTTAGAGGTTCTATTGGATCCTGTGTGAGAAAAGCAGACAAGGGTTATTGCTGAATTAAATGCTTCAGCAGGAAGTCTAGTTTGCTTAAATGAAAATAGTTAAAGGAAGACAGAAATATAATATTAGAATATTGTACAAAATGCTTATAAGGGCTTTCTTTGGGTGAAGGCACTTTTTTATTGAGTTGTGAAACACACATGGGAAACTTGATATCAAGAAAAGATTTCTTGAAAAAACATGACAGTTATTTCAATTTATTTTAAAAAACTGCATACTAGCTAGATGTGGTGGCATGTGCCTGTAACCCTGATGACTTGGAAGACTGAGGCAGGAGGATCCAAGTTCAAAGCCAGCCTCAGCAACTTAGTGAGGCCCTGCCTCAAAATAAAAAATAAATAAAAATAAAAAAGGTCTGGGGATGTGGCTCAGTGGTTAAATACCCTGGGTTCAATCCCAGGTACAAAAAAAAAAAAAAAACTGTGCATACTCATTAGTTCTTGATTATTCTTACTCATGTGCCTTCATGGGTCAACTAGTAAAAATCAGTTTAGGATCATGTAACTGCTTTATGAACACTTGTGTAAGACAGAAGCCCTACCATGACATCAGGTTTCTAATTATTCATTTTGTAATGGCTGTCTATCCTACTCTGGCCCTGAGCCAGGATCCAGCCTAGCCTTCAGTCAAGCCCTATGCCAGAGCTTGGCAAGAAAGATTCCCAGGATTACAAGGGACATTCCCTCTCCACCCACAAGAAGGGCAGGAATTCCCTTCTTCTGTGCTGGTTTCCTGGAGACCTTTGCATAGCTGCTTGCTGGCAGGCAAGTTTTTGAAGCTCAAGATCACTGGAGCAGTGATACCAAGTTTGTGTTCTCATTTTCAAGATGTAACATACCAAGTTTTAACAAATTATGCCTCTTCCCTTACATTATGAATTTAACAATAAAACTCATAAACAAGCCATGCATGATGGCATGTGCCTGGAGTCCCCCTCTGAGGCAGGAAGATTGCTTGAATCCAGGATTTGGAGGCGGGCCTGGCAACATAGTGAGAACCTCTCTCAAAATAAACAAAAAATCCAACAAACAAAAACATCCACTCTTCATCCAAACAAATGCTCTTGGACCTTAGGAGGAAATGAGAACACTAAAGAATTTTACTTTAATTATAAAAAACAGTAGGCCTCCACCATGCAGAGACACCGTGTACCATAATATTATACCCAGGAAGGATATTATCCCTCTAGTGAGTTCACCTGATAATTCTTATGCTCAGCCACCACTTTTCCTCCTTGTATCTTTGCACTTATGTTCAGCAAAATTACTCACTTCCTAAGGCTTCCCTATGTAGGACCAACAGTGGGTAGCCTGGGTGGAGTGTTGGAGGTTACAGAAGTCAGTATTTCAGTTTTACTTAGTTTTGAAAGGTAGTTTCCCCCAAAGAAATGTCTGGGTCCTAATTTTCAGAATTGTGAAGATTACCTTATTTAGAAAAAGGGTCTTTGCAGGTATAATTAGGAATCTTGAGAAAATTATCCTGGATTATCTAGCTAGGCCCTAATCCAGGACAAGTGTCTTTTTAAGAAGGGGAGATTTGAGACAAAGAAGAAGACACAGTAGAAAGTAATGAGAGAATGGAGGCAAAGACTGGAATAATGCCATAGTATAAGACAAAGGACACCAAGGAATGCCTAACAACCACCAGAAACCAGAAAAGGGAAGAAACAGATTCTTCTCTAGACCTTTTGAAGGGAATATAGTCATCCCAACATCTTGATTTCAGACATCCAGCCTTCCAAAACTATGAAAGAATATTTTTTTTGTTTTATGCCATCAGTTCATGGAAATTTATTATGGCAGCCTCAGGAAACTCATACACTTATGACAGACCTATCTCTATTGTTTCAATTTCTTCTTCTTTTTTTTTTTTTTTAACCTTTTTTTTTTTTTTTCTTGGTACCAGGGATTGAACCCAGGTGTACTTTACTGCTGAGCTCATCTCAAGCCCTTTTTATTTTTCATTTTGAGGCAGGTTCTCACTAAATTGTTTAGGGCCTTGCTAAGTTTCTGAGACTGTTCTTAAACTTGTGACCCTCCTGCCTTAGTCTCCTGAGCCACTGAGATTACAGGTATACACCACTATGCCTGACTATTTCTTTTATAACTTTCCAAAATGAGTTTTTTTGTTAGTTGTAGATGGACAGAATACCTTTATTTTATTTATTTATTTATTTATTTTTATGTGGTATCAGGGATCGAACCCAGGGCCTCACATGTGCTAGGGAAGCACTCTACCACTGAGCCACAACCCTGTCCTCAAAATGAGTTTTTGAATTTAAAAAAAAAAAAAAAAATTATTCTTATGTATTATAGTGTCCTTCAAATACTGAACTCTTACCCCATGTAGCTCAGTGATAATGTGCTTTCGGTTCAATCCTTAGTATCAAAAAAAAAAAAAAAAAAAGATAAACAGACATCTTGAGCCTCTAAGGAAACATGTACCTTATTGTTACCTTTTTGGTAACCCTACCAAAAAGGAACCTGATTTCATTGTTCGAGTCCATCTGGGCTGCTATGACAGAGTACCAAAGAATGAGTGGCTTATAAAAAATAGAAACTTATCTCTCACTGTTCTGGAGTATGGAAATCTGAGATCCCGGCCCCAGCATGGTAGAGTTTGAGGGCCCTCTTCCAGTTGCAGATTGCCAGCTTTTGGCTGTATCCATGTACCACAGAAAGGGGGAGCTAGTTCTCCAGCCTTTAAGGGCACAAATGGCATTTATATATGGCTCTTGCCCACCTTGATTTTATTATCTCTCAATGGCCCACTTCCTGATACCATCCCACTAGGAATTAGATTTCAACATGTGAATGGGGGTGGGTTACAAACATACAATCCATAACACCAGTCCAGCACCTGAATCCAATTACCAAATTTATAGAAATAAAGGGCTAATGGGAAATGTTAAATAACACCTCAAGAAGATAGTTAGATTTGGGGAATTGCTACTGGATAAAGGACAATGTTTCTTCAAAGTATAAATTGTAAGGCAAAAAAATACGAGAAAAAGAAATGTAGAAGTGAAATTAAAAGATTTTAAAAAGGGAGTGGGACTGTAACTCAGTGATAGAGCACTTACTTAGCATGTACAAGACCCTGGGTTCATTCTCCAGCACTGCTAAAAAAAGATTTAAGATACATGTCACATAATATATGCACTTTATTTAGATGTTGTTTCAAAGAAGCCATTAAAATAATATTTATGAGGCCATTAGAAATTTGAACCCTGAGTATTTGATTATATTAACAAATTATTGGCAGACAGATGTGGTGGCATATGCTTGTAATCCCAGTAACACAGGAGGCTGTGGCAGAAGGATTACAGTTTCAGGCCAGCCTGGACAATTTAACAAGATGCTAGACCATGCCTCAAAAGAAAATAAAAGTGAAGGGAAGCAGGGACTGAGGATATTGTTCTGCAGTAGAGTGATTATCTAGCATATGTGAGGCCCTGGGTTCAATCTCCAGCACAGTTAAAAAAAAATAAAGGTGGCAGGCAGGGGGTTGTTAATAGGTATAATAATGGTATTACATATATGTTTGAAAACAAATCCCTTATCTTTAATGAATACATTATAAAATATTTTAAGATGAAATTTGATCTGGGATTTATTTTAAAATCACAGGGATTGTTGGGCCACTCGACATAGCTGGTGGAAGTATAAAAGGGTATAATCACCATGGAAAATTATCTGGCATTCTTCAAATGGTTAAATTGAGTTACTATATGACTCAGCCACTTACACCTAGGGAAAATATCTAAGAGAAGTGAAAACATATGTCCATTCAAAAACTTGTTCATGAATATTCATAGAGCAAACATTATTCATAGTAGTAAAAAATGAAAACAATCCAAATGTCCATCAACAGATGAATACCACAGATGAACCAGGTGAGAAATATCCATACACTGGAATGTTACTTGGCAATGAAAAGAAATGAAGTATTAGCAGGGCAAGGGGTGCATGACATCATCCCAAGGACTCTGGAGGCTAAGGCAGGAAGATTGCCAAGTTCAAGTTCAAGCCCAGCCACAGCAATTTAGCAAGACCCTGTTTCAAAATAAAAAATAAAAAGGGCTGGGGTTGTGGCTCAGTAGTTAAGCACCCCTGGGTTCAATCCTCAGTACCAAAAAAAAACCCCCTTAGAAATGGAGCATTGTAGCTGGGCATGGTGGTGGGTGGCATTGCCTGAAGTCTCAACACTCCAGAGACTAAGGCAGGAGAATCGCTTGAACCTAGGAGTTAAAGACCAGCTTGAACAACACAGCAAAAAAAAAATAGATAAAAAGAAAAATGAATGAAGTATTAATACAAGCTATGACATAATTTTGAAAAAATTATGCTAAATAAAAATATCAGTCATAGAGAACCAAATATTGTGTGATTCTGTTTATATTAAATGTCTAGAATAGAAAAACCCCTAGAGACTAGCTTAATGGTTGTCAGTGACTGGAGATGGGGAGTTTTAGACAGCTAAGGTTTCTTTTGGGATAATAAAAATGTTCTAAAATTGTGGTGAAGGTGCACAATGCAATGAATATACTAAAAGTCATGGGTGAATTGTATGGTATGGAAATCTTAATAAAGCTATTAAAAACTAACCCAGAGCTGGGCCTGGTGGCACATCCCTGTAATCCCAACGACTCGGGAGACTGAGGCAAAGGACAGCAAGTTCAAGGCAAGGCTCAGCAACTTAGTGAGGCGCTAAGAAACTTAGTGAGACCCTATCTCAAAATAAAAATAAAAAGGGCTGGGGATGTGGCTCAGTAGTAAAGAGTCCCTGGGTTTAATCCCCAGAACCAACAACAAGAAAAAAATTAACAAACCCAGAGAGGAGGGGTGAGAAGTGGTATAGACCAAACAAGTTTAGCCAAAAGTTAACAATCATTTAAGTTGTATGATAGGCACATGAGATTCATTACTAATATTCTATTTCTACGCAGTTAAATTTTTCCATTAAAAAACAGCACATATCAATGCAGAAAGTTCATGTGAAGAGAGACTAAAATCTATTTTAAATAAGAATGCTAAAATAAAGAGAAAAAAGGAACAAGGAAATACATTATTAACAAAAGAAAGGGGGCATTGAGTTACGTACAAAAATGAAGAGGAGAAGGTGAAAAAAGAGGACTCATGCGGTATGTATATTTACTGGATCATTATTCAATATAGGAAATAAAAAATGTTAATATCAACATCTACCAAAAAATGAAACAATAATTTGTGACATTTACAGTTTTCTTATAAAAGTATGGACACATTTCTATAGGTTGGCCATGAATAGATTTATTAGGTAAAATTTAAAAAATTATAGGACAGTATTACAATACTGTCTTCCTATTGCTATATTATTTGTGTATAGATAATTCTAGTTGACACTGGACCCACTCTTCCCACCAAATCAAGATAAAACAAGTACTTTGTGTTAACCTTCTTCTTCTTATCCCCTCAACCCAAATGTTCTTTTGCTCTCAACCTTTGGGAGCACAGGCTGAAAAATAAAAGATTTCAACTGTTGGGTACCCTTCCTAAGTATCTTTTAGAAAATGATCTTTTAGAAAATTTCCCCCAGCTGCTTGGGAGGTTGAGGCAGGAGGATCGTGAGTTCAAAGCCAGCCTCCAGAAACTTAGCAAGGCCCTAAGCAACTTAAAGAGGCCCTGACTCAAAATAAAATATAAAAAAGGGCTGGGGATGTGGCTCAGTGGGTAAGCACCTCTGCGTTCAATCTCTGGTACCAAAAAAGGAAAGAAAAAGAAAATAGAAAATCTCCAAAGTGTTCTTTCAGGATAAAGTGTTTTCTTGAACAGCTGACCAGCCAATAAGACATTAAGAAGTTAAATACAGATTTCATGAAACATCACCTATCAAAGTTAATTAACTCCAAGGCAAACAAAAGGAATCAAGCACAAATTTAAAGCCCCGTCTTCATGTTCATTATTCTCTTCTCTTATGTTATAAATCATTGAAAATATTCCATGTGTCTATCAATAGAAGACTAATTTTTAAAAGGATGATATGGAGCTGAGAATGAATGTCAGGAGTGGTTATTTTACACCGAGGTTGGGATGATTTTATTAAATATTTTCCTGTTTTCATTTGTACCCTACAATGACTACATACTAGCTTTACAATTAAAAGTTCTCTGTACAGAGAACTGAAGTTCCAGTCTCCAAAAGAGAAATGGAATGACTGAACCACAGGGGCCCTTTCGGGCTTGGGGCATGGTATAAAGAATAAATGTCTAATAGAACCTAACTAAGTACCACACTGCCTCTGACCAACATTCATTCTCACTTCATTCTTCCTTTGATGTTTACTAAGGTTGTTTAGGTGAGAAGACTGGGACGAGATGAGATGATGGAGGCTATGGTAGCGTCCCTGGCTTTCAGGAGTCTATGTCCTGGTGAGGAGACAGAGTTTTTATACACACACACACACAATACTACATTTTAATATATATATACCACATTTTCTTTATCCATTTATCTACTGTATTTACACAATTATTCACAACAATTGTGAGAGAAAAGAAAGAGGGCTGCTGGAGTGTTTTCCTTGACTTGCTCCCTTCCCTATCCATGGTCCTCTACCTACAAAATGAGGTTATTCTAGGCTAGTTCTTTTCTATGATGCAGCCTTTTGGAGTGAGGCTTTGGGGAAGAAAATCAAATCCAATCTGCCCTTTAGAAAACTGGGGAGCACATAGAAGGACCAAGCTAAAAGAAAACAAGCAAAGAGCAGAAAAGTTTTGATGATACTCTACTTTGTATCAAAGTCAGTTTAATTGCAAGTTGGGAGGAAAGTCTCCTGTTACTTAAAGAACCTAGGAAAGTTACTCTGCAAAGGAGTACAAGTGTGAAGGAGAAATAAAAACCATGGTGCAATATTAAATAGCTCTGGTTAACAAGTAACTTGATTTTTCTTCATGGTGAAGTCAAGTTCACCTTATACTGCAGGTGAATTCTTTATACTGTCCATTCCCAGTCTCACTCTGAAAACAATAAGTCAAATAATCAGGGATGTTTCCTACAGAATTATCTGAATCATAGTGTTGAATCATCTATATTCACATTTTTAATTTTTTTATTCTAATTTATTATACATGACAGCAGAATGCATTACAATTTATATTACACATATAAAGCACAATTTTTCATATCTCTGGTTGTACACAAAGTATATTTACACCATTTTTGTTTTCATTCACGTACTTAGGGTAATGATGTCCACCTCATTCCACACTTATTTCTACCCCCATGGCCCCTCTCTTCCCCTCCAACCCATTGGCTATAGTTCCTCTAATCTATATTGGCTATAGTTCCTCTAATCTTCCCATTGTTCCCCCTCCCAACCCCACTATGAATCAGCGTCCTTATATCAGAGAAAACATTTGTTTTGGGGGGATTGGCTAACTTTACTTAGCTTTATATTCTCCAACTCCATCCATTTACCTGCAAATGCCATGATTTTATTCTTGTTTATTACTGATAATATTCCATTGTGTGTGTATGTGTATATATATATATTATATATATATAAAATATATATATTTATAATATATATATATATAATCTCACATTTTCTTTATCCATTTATCTACTGAAGGGCACCTAGGTTGGTTCCACAATTTAGCTATTGTGAATTGTACTTCAATAAACATTGATGTAGCTGTGTCCCTGTAGTATGCTGTTTTTAAGTACTTTGGGCAAATGGGTGCAGCCAATATGGAAAGCAGTATGAAGATTCCTTAGAAACCTGGGAATAGAACCACCTTTTGACCCAGCTATCCCACTCCTCATTCTACCTTCACATTTTTTAAAGTCTGCATACATTAACCTTTGCTCCTGGGTTTTAAGTTTCCAACTTTAAAAGAAAGGCAAATGGAGAGGCACTAATAACAGTTTCAATATGCCCCCCAAATGAATAAATGCCTTTACTCTGATACTGAACAATAAAATGTGTGTCAGTGGTGCAATTTTCAAACTTAGATCAAAACATTCTTTTCTGTAACTCCAGAAAGAAAAGAATCACATTCTACAGTCTAATTCACTGTGATTCGCTCTTTTTACAATGTCTTTTATGTAGAGGATAAAAGTGTGAAACTGCCTTTTACAGCACATCTGCAAATTGCTCAGGGAAATTCAAATCTCCCTTTACCTATGGGAGGCAGTCTCCAAACAGAAGTACCTCAGTCAACATCACACCCCTAGAGATCTGCTCAGCCAGAGACAGATTGTACTTCTAGCAGCGCCAGTTAAAACACCCCCCAACACAAACCCGGGCGCCAGCACAAGTTGGCCCCAGAGCACCGCCCTGCACAGCTCCCTTACTCTTCTGTTCCCAGGGCTTGCAACCTCAGGCCTACGGACCTGGGTAGCCCCCAGCCTGTCCTCTGAATGGCATGGAAGGGCCAGGAATTCCAGAGCCAAAAGATTACCTAGTCGAACATAAAGCAAGATCCAAGAAATTCCACTTGTAAATCTACCTGACACCCAAATGGCCTGAAAGTCCGGCCTGCTTTTCTACGCAGGTCATCCATGCTGGGTCTTGGACATTATGGAGCAGACCCCAAAGAAAAAGTTGCAGTGGTTAGAGGGGGGTTCAAAAAGCGAGACAAAAGGCTCCAGGCCGGGGGCTCCCACCCACTCCCCGCTGCCCTGAGCCATCAACTAGCTAATCCACGGCCCCGTGGGACCAGCCCAGAGGAAGTCGCCAGAGTGTGCGAAAAGCTACTAATGACTTCAGTGTTTGCAAAAGAACTAACTCAAGGGAGCAAAGGCCGAGTTCTCAGCGTACCTGTTAGAAGCAGGCACTCCTTTCCTGTCTGCCCTTCCCTTCTCCACACCAATACCTGCGAATTTAAAGTGCCCCGTCCAAGACCCTCTCCAACAAGTGAGTAAGTCCCTGAGGCCACCTCTGCCTTCAGCCGGTCTCCACCGACTTCAGTCACTCCTGGATGTCCCTCCGGTGGGTCCTCCAGGTGCAGGGATCCCCCCATTATAGCTACTAAGAGACTGAGGGATTCGCGGGGTAGTAATGGGGGCAGCAAGCTGTTGGTGCACTAGTCCCGCTCCCACCACCTGCCCAGAGTGCCCCAGACTCCAGCTCCTCAGCCGTAGGAGCCCTCCTAGGCTTAGTTTCTTACCTCGGGTGGTCTGACTGCAGGAGGCAGAGGCCGCCAGCAGGATGGCGCCCCCCAGCAGCCACATCAGGCTTCGACTTCGCATCCTTCCTGCAGCTCCGACGCCGGGCGGGGAATCCGCCGCTACTGATTTGAAACTCTGTGTCACACTCGATACACCCTGAAAAAGCCCCTATTTCACTTGCCTCTAATCAGAGACTCTGCGCGCGCTTCCTCAAGTTCGGATCAGTTTCACTGAAACCCGAGCCGTTGAGCGCACCTGAGAGAAGCCACGCCCTGGGGCCCGAGCGCGCACCTCGGCCCCGCCCCTTCGAACCTTTGGCGCCGAGTCCCCACCCCCGGCCACCTGGCCAGGGACTGCCTCCCGCCTACTCTGGGTTGTCTTGGCTTGCCAAGGTCTCAGTCACTGCGGGAATCTATGGCCAGATGATTTTGGGCGGGTGAGGTGGTTGCATTGGAATGCAAACGACAGGAAGGCTGAGACCGCGCGGGTCCTTCCGGACTTGGGCAGTGCTTGGAACTACCTTTAACCTTTAATCGTTCCTAGAGAAACAGTGTTGGCAACTCCCTTACCTGCGCTGAAAATGCCTTGACCAGCCTTACTGTCATTATCGTTGATAATTAATACGTAGATGGGGGGCTTCCCAGTGTAAAGGGTACTGCGGGGCCAGGAGTGAGTTTCTGATATGGAAAATCAAGGCAAGTAGGCTCATGTGGATACCAGGGAAGGTAGCCAGAAAGGATCAGGGATTAGACACTTCCTGTGCCTTGAACAGCTATGACCTTGAACAAACCTCCTCACGCCCACTAGGCCTTTTGCTCCCCTGTGAACTGGAACGTGGGAAAAATACCTGAAACTGTTATTGTATTTTAAGTGCCAAGTGCCAACACTTCAAGAACATTATTATCTTGTTTAATCCTCACAATAACCACACAATAAGTATGGTTACTCTTCCATTTTACAGATCAGAAAATTGAGGTTAGGAAGATTAAATTGCCCAATCACATGGTTCATGGTTTATAAATGTCTATTTATTTGAACTTGAATCTATGATTGATATTTTCTTCTGTTAATCGTTGCACTATCCATGCTTCCACCACGGCATCTTGTGCACTTGGATCCTAGTCTAACAAATACAGGGGTTGGAGGCATGGTTCAGTGGAGCAGGTGCTTAGCAAGCACAAGACTCTAGTTTCAATCCCTAGCACATATAGGTGTGTGGGCCAAACACACACACACACACACACACAAATGGATAAGGGAAGGAGAAATGTGGAATTGAAAATGGGTGCACAAAGGCCTTCATCCTGTTGATAATATCTTACTTTTTAATTTACTTTTTTATTTTACTTTATTTACTTATTTAATTTTGGTACTGGGGGTTGAACCTAAAGGGGCTTTACTACTAAGCTACATTTCCAGCCCTTTTTACTTTTTTAGTTTGAGTCAGGGTCTTGCTAAGTTTCTGAGGGTCTCTTTAAATTGCTGAGTCTGGACTCTATTTTTTTTTTTTTGGTATCAGGATTGAATTTAGGGGTACTCCACCACTGAGCCATATCCCAGCCCTTTTTGTATTTTATTTAGAGACAGGGTCTGACTGAGTTGCTTAGCGCCTCCCTGTTGCTGAGGCTGGCTTTGAACTCATCTCAGCCTCCTGAGCCCTGAAATTATAGACGAGTGCTACCATTCCCACCCAGCAAGCCTGGCCTCTTTGAACTTGCTGTCCTCCTGCCTCAGCCTCCCAAGGATTACAGGCATACACCACCAACATTAGGCATTAATTTACTTTTTTAAGGGGAGAATAAAACAAAGTTAACTGTGATCTGTTTAAACTATGTTCTAGAACTGGGTGCTGTAGTGCATGCCTATAATCCCAGCTTCAGGAGACTGAAGCAGAAATTCAAAACCACCCTGGGCAATTTAGCAAGACCCTGTTTCAAAATTTTAAAAAGGAGTGGGATATCTCAGTGATAGAGAACCACTAGGTTTAACCCCAGTACTGCAAAAAACAAAGTAAAACAAAAATAAAATAAAATGTTGTTAGCCAGGCATGGTGGCACCCGCCCGTAATCCCAGCAGTTTGGGAGGCTGAGACAGGAGAATCATGATTTCAAAGTCAGCCTCAGCAGAGGTGAGGTGCTTAGCAGCTCAGTTAGACCCTGTCTCTAAATAAAATGCAAAATAGGGCTGGGGATGTGGCTCAATGGCAGAGTAAACCTGAGTTCAACCCCTGGTACCCCCAAAATAAAAAATAATAATAAAATAAAATATTGTTCTGGAAGAACAGAGAGGATACTTGAAGGATTAGCACATTAGAAGAGAATCAGACAGAGCTGGGGCTGGGGCTCAAGTGGTAGAAGGCTTGCCTAGCACATGTGAGGCACTGGGTTTGATCCTCAGCACCACATAAAAATAAAATAAAGATATTGTATCCACCTTAAACTAAAAAATAAATATTTTAAAAGCGGGGGGAGAATCAGATAGTTCCATGAGGCATGGTGCTTTTGGTCCTGGCTCCTTGGGAAAATGGAGAGTTTGAGACTCCTGTACAATATAGTGAGATCCTGTCTCAAACAAAACAAAAAGGAAGAAGAAGAGGATCAGCTCAGACTTACTTTGACTAGCTCCAGAAAGCAGAAGTAGATGGTGTCACATCTACTTCTTTTGGCTCTATGTAAAAAGAGCTGGTCCCAGTCTTGAGGGCTTCCTTCTGAGGGGATGGACTGCATAACTTCAATGTCTATAGCAAAAGACCAGAACAAGAGTTAGCGATGGAGTCCAGATAGCCTCTTGAGGGACCTGAATCCTAATGTTTGCTACTAACTAGCAATAAGCAGTGAAATGCATGGCAAGGTTACAATTGTTGTTTAAACTATTTTAAGGTCTTCTTTAAACTACTTTCAAAGTAAATGAGAAAGCAAAGGGTGTTAGTTAATTTGTAGAAAATAAACAGGAGCAAAGGAGCTAATGGGAGAACATGTCAAAGGAAAAAGGATTAATGGGACAGCTCTTGACAGGGTCCATTGAGGTTGGTGTGAAACTATGAATTATGACTAGAGGTGTCTCCATTTGTCTGGGAAGCAAGATTCCTTTAGTAGCACAGGCACATTAAGATAACTTCTGACCAGCTACTGACCCCAGTGCCCACATTAATGTGGGATTGACTTGTGAATGAAGCCCTCCTAAATAGGATGGCCACCATGTCAGTCTAGGCAAGGACCAACTAAGGTCAAAAACTTTACACCTGACCTGAAGGAGGAGTTGAACATTGATTGGTAAAGACTGCTGAAGGAGTCTTTAAACATTTATTAATGTTTGATGTTTGGTAAACATCGAACAATAAATTTGGAGACAGGGGACTGGGGTTGTAGCTCAGTGGTGGAGCACTCACCTAGCACATGTGAGGCCCTGGGTTCAATCCTCAGCACCACATAAAAATAAAATAAATGTATTATGTCCCCCTGCAACTAAAAAATATAAATAAATAAATAAATAAATAAATAAGTAAAATTGGACACAGCATTGTCTCCTTTATTCTCTGTTTGGAGACAATCCACTCTTTCTCTTGAGAATACTCTCTGTTTGAGCCTTTACTTTGCTTTTACTTTACTTTCAGCTCTCTTTCATTTATAACAAAGTTCTCTTGCATGGCTTTTGGTATCTAACTTTAAATTTTCTTTCGTCGGAACCAAGGTTTGGGATTTCAACTCACTGCTTTCCTAAGACATATTACTTTCAGGAGCCCATAATTCTCCCTGGGAGACTAAAATTTGGTGAGTCAGTTGTCAGTGACAATCACTAATTTTGGAACAACCAAAAACCAAATTACCACAATCTCTAAGCCTATCAGTGTTCAGGATGGAGCTTACATCCGATAAAAGGCCTACGTTTTGTATATTGAAACAACTTTGTGGGTCTCAAATAATTCAAAAAGACAATATTATATAAAATGTCATATTAGCCAGTTGTTTCAGCCTATATCTCTCCTATAAAACATTTTTCCAAGCCATGCATTGTGATGCACTCCTATAATACCAGTGGCTCCGGAGGCTGAGGCAGAAGGATTGTGAATTCAAAGCCAGCCTCAGCAACTTAGCAAGGCCTAAGCAAGTTAGTGAGACCTTATATCTAAATAAAATATTAAAAAGGGCTTGGGATGTACCTCCGTGGTTAAGTGCTCCTGGATTCAACCCCTAGTTAAAAAAATATATATTTTTTCCAAGAAACCCAGTGAATGGTTAGTATTCCACCTCTTCCCTCTGCACAAACAGGGGCTAATACAAGCAGAGAAATAAAAGAAAGAGAAATAAATAGCCTTTAATAGCCCATGAGAATGGAACACATATTTTCTGAGTAACAGAAATCATGGTTTCTTTTTTTTTCTACCCCAAAACCACAAAAAAAGTTTCCAGGAAACTGTTAGGTGAATGAGACAATCTCTTTAATGAGACATCTCTGAGGAGATCTCATGGCTGTCTCAAGTGCTTTTGGGAATGTAGAAAAAACTTAGCCTTTGAAATCATGAGATTCTATGGCAGGTACTAGCTTCTCTTCTTGCTAACATCTATGTGGGTTAGGGTAAATTATTTACCCTCTCGATGCTGCTTTAGGATCCTAACCAATGAGATGAGATTGGTATTCTGTCTAGTTTAAAAGTATCTGAGGATCAAATAGAGACACTGATGGCAAAGTAGAAGTTCATTAAATTTTCTCCTTTTTTCCTTTCTCTGAGGGGTCTTCGTCCTACTCCACTTGCTCTCCAGCTCTCACGATGCTTGCTCCCAAGGCTGCCCATGCCTCAGTCCAGGGCATCTTTTCCTCCCAGGAAAAGTTGATTTCTAAAAGCAGCACAGGAGCTGACCTTGTCTTGAATGGGGAACAGTTTTCCTGACAGGGACAAGGTCATTCCTGCAGGTCCTTCCCCAGGAGAAACACCTGATTCCTATTAGGATGTACTGTCAATCTTTTCATTTTCTCATCTGTAATTATTACAACTGCATCTATAATCTGGGTAAGATAATAGTACCTTTCTTGAAGGGTGATTGTGAGGATTCATTTTGCTAAATGCCCATGAAGTGTTTCTGAGCACAGTGCCTGCCTGCATATAGTAAGCACTCAAGAAATAGGAGCTGATATACCATGACTGCCTTCAACCAGACATCTTCTTCTTTCCAGAGAACACCACATCAGACATCAGCCCTCTCAATTTACATTTTCACTGATATTTTGTGGGATTATGCTTTGAATCATCAAATTTTCAAAAAAAAAAAGAAAGAAAGAAAGAAAGAAAGAAAGAAAGAAAGAAAGAAAGAAAGAAAGAAAGAAAGAAAAGGAATTGGTGAACAATGTTGTGAGTTAATAA